TATGATTTTGTTTATCTATAATATTCATCACAAAATTAAGTGCATTGCTCAAAAGGCTACGTTAAAAAAATAAAAATTTGTGTCATACATGCTTAATTTCTTTTTCTGATCATTTCACTCCAAAGAAGGCAATAAAGCCACTAAGATGCAAGGAGTTATCGAGTTTAAAGGAATATAAGAAAAAGAAACACATTAAGGAGGGAGGGGGAAAAGAAAAAGGGGAAAAAGAAAAAAGAAAGAAATTAAAAAGATAATGATTGACATTACATTTAAATTTTTGAAGATCGAAGTTAACTGGAAAGTAAGAGGCCAAAAGAGAGTTCCACAAGCAATAAATGTGAGAGAAGAAATTGTTAGCATATAACTTGCAGTTACATTAAGTAATTTCAACCATAAAATGATGTGCTTAAATTTATAAAGTCAAGGTACCAAATAGGAAAGATCATCAGAACAATTACCATAAAGATATTTATAGTAAAGACAAAATAAAGCTGTGTTACAGCAGTGGGAATATGATTGAAGTCCACATGTCAGGTCAGGACAGATAACATTGTAGATTCTTTGGATGTTTTTTTTTTTTTTTTTTTTTATTACATGATTAGGCAAGAGGATAACTGATATATCTATATTGGCAATTAATATTCATTCAAACAACTTTTGTTGGCAACAACATGTTCTCTTTTATATTTTTTTTCTTGTTGGTGGATTACTTTTCCTATTTTAGCAGTGAAGGTGTAAAGGAACTCTCCACAGTTTGTGTTAGTCCCAAGCATTTGACTGGCTTCAGTCAGTGTTAAGAAAGAAATTAGATGAAATTGAAACTCCATGTGGTAGTTTGCAATTTGGAATGATTTTGAGTTTAGAATGTGTGTTGTCAAATAAAGATAATGTTATTTTTTTTTACTTTTTGAGTATCACATGGCCATGAGAGTAAAGGATTCTGAGAATTTAAAGACGTTGAGAATTTCTATTTCAGAATCAGAAGTGATTTTGTTAATTGTTGAGGTTTTCACCTTTGACAGCTTCTAAAATTTGTAATTTTTATTTAAAATTTGTTTTATTGATTATTGTTTTTCACAAGGTGCTATTATACAGAGTGCAATGAATAAATTGTTGTTTAAATTACGCAAAAATGAAAACACTGATATCTCATTTTAATAGATATTTTTGTGTAATTTTGATAAATATATCTTGAAATATTAAAGAGTAAATTTATTCAATAAAATTGCCATTGGCTTCAACCATAGCCTCCAGACAACTTCGGAATTTCTTGCGTCTCTTCTGGTTGCTCTAAGCTGGTGAATGCTGCATAAATCCTTGCCTTCAGTTCAACTTTGGTGTTACAAGGAGTTCTGTCAGTCTCTTAACTGCATCCCACGGATAATAGTAGTCCGAGATGTAAGGGGTGATGTGGTTGCAGAAATTATGTTTCTCCTGCTTGTGTGGCATGGTGCAAAGTCCTGTTGCTAGACATAGGGTCTTCCATCAGCCACCTTCTGGACTCAGGGCAGCACTACCTCCCCAAGGCACTTGATGTAGGCTTCTGTGTTGAGTCTAAGGCCCTCGGCCAACAAATATGGAAGTTCTTTTGTTATCAGAACAATCAGTGAGTTTTCCAAGCTGCTATACCTTCATAATCACCATTAGACTCATTCAACTTTTTCTGAATCCTCTGCACTATTGTCAGATTGACACCCAAACACTCTTTTGGCATGAATGCAAAGCAGCACAGCATGTAGTTTCTGGTGGAGTGAATTGCATCATGGTGCTTTTTTTCTCACAAACACTGACCAACTGACCCTAGTATGCTGTGCAGCTGATAAAAATCAAAAACAAACAACGTACATGCACGAAATGAAAAATATAAATTGGCAACAATTTACTCATTGCACCTTGTATATTATTGCCGTCTTTTTTTTTTCTTTTTCTTTTTTGTTCTGTATACCGGTATATATCATTTTGGTCATAATTATGAAAGGTGTCTAAGGGTTGTGGCTGTATATCCTATATCAGATTGTATCTCTGAAAAGAACAAAAAAACTATCTCCTCCTTACTAATATATCATGATATTGCCTAATATTCTGTATTAGCTCATAACATCTAAAATGGATGTAGTGAAGTTTAAACCTTTTTGTTTCTGAATTTCCTAGGAGGGGGTTATAAAATTGCTATTTATCAACACTTTCTGACCATTTATATAGACTAAACAGTGGATGTAAATACAGTTAGGCAGCGGGTAATGTGTTTCAGTCATATTATCAAAAATGCACAGCCAATAGTGATGATCATACAGAAAAATAGTGTTTTTGTAACTGAAAACTTAGTCTATCCAACAGTATTATGGTGCTCCATTTTAGTTTACACTGAAATAAAATGGATGCATTATTTTTTATATAGTGTTGACAATCACCAGGTGTCAAAAAAATAAAAACTTTGTCAGTTTGGTTTTATTTTGTAAACTGCCTTGTATTATTAAAGACTCCCAGAAGTCAAAGAGATTGTTTCATTGTTTAGAGTGTTCATAAATCTTACTACTACTACTACCACCAATACTACTACTACTACTACTATCCTAGCTCGGTGTCTGAGCTAAAGTTATTACAAGTGTTAATAGGAATGCTTGTTATTCTTTTATTTAATTACTTGATCTAATTTTTGACATATTTCACTATCTTTTTAAAGAAAAAAAATGCATCTGTAAACTCAAGGAAAAAGATATGCACATATTTATATTCAACATGATTATTGATTACTCACAAAATATGTGGAGAACATTTTTTTCAATTGAAAAATCAATTAAAAATGCAAATTAAGCTATAAAATTTGCTTAACTGTATGTGTGTGTGTATTTTTTAATTGGTTCTTCAATCTTCAGTTTTTAGAAAAGCTATCATTTAATTAGGTCTGTATATTCTAAAATGGAGGTGTGTTTTAGCTAATTTCTACATTCATAACTGAAGTATTTTTTTTTTATTAAATGTTTACTCAATACAAGGATAAGAGGGTTATTTATGGTAGAGGATTACGAAATGACTGTTGTATGGACATAGAGAAAGAGTAAGTGCAGATTATGAGGACATGCATAATAGATAACAGTTTACTAAACTTTACTTTTACATATGAAATCAACATTTTCATCAAAGTGATTAGCTAATTCATACAACAGTTAAATTCAGTCTTTTCAAATCTAATTTGACAAACATACAACCTCAATTTTTTTTGTTATTGAGACAATCAGAGGCCTTACCTTACCAGTTATAAAATCTAACTTGTCAAATTGTTCACAATGCTCTAACTTTCACAATGCAATGTAAAAACTTTTAAAAGTAGATCTTAAAACATGATCTTTCTTTATATAGTATTCCTTTATGTAGCATATTTATAATGAAAGTCTTCCTAAAATATGCCATTAAACATGATATTCCTCTACCTTGTGCTGGATACACACAAGATAATTCTTAATAGAGTTATTAACAATATACCCATAAAGATTACATTATTTATAACCAGAAACAAAAACATCAATGCCAATCTTAGCTCAAGTCACTGAACAGAATTTGTTGAATCTCAAGTCGCATTATATACTAATGCTAATATTTAAAGAACAAAACTTTTCAACTATTTGTAGAGTTTTGCATTATGGTACATATTACAACTGTTTTATTTGTGGTTAATATAAAGTGGCACCTATGTCTACTATATTCAAACATTATCTTATTTTATGATTATAAATTTTACATCACACCATAAAAGTAATAAACATTTCATTTTTAAACTCTGTCAGATGCCATAGCTATATTTGCGTTTTAAAAATAGGAAAATCTCAGTTGTACTGCGTTCAGTTTCACAATGTAAAACTAGCCTTTAATTACTTCTCCATTCTATTTTAATGTAGAATAATTTGAGGGGATTTTTTTAATGAACTCTTAGACTGGTAGTAAACAGCAAAACTATAAAGATTCTTAAAACTACAATTCATTAAAGATAAATTATATCTATCTATAATTCTTTCATAACAACTTGATATTCTAAATGATATAAAAATACACTGAATAAAGATGGTTGCTGTCAGTATTCAAAATTACTAATCTATTTATTCAGTGATCATCAATAAATCCGAATACTGAATTTATACATTTTAGGCAGTAAATGAAATATGAAAATGCATGATTATCTTGCAATATTAAACCAATCATCCTTAGCTAGCAAAAAGGGAATGTCAAAAGTATTTTTATAGTTAATGTTTAAGTGATATCAATAACTGCTCGAATACAATCAGCATGTCCTTCATAAAAATAACAAGTTTCATTGTTGTGATGGACTAGATTTGGGATTACTTTCTGAATTTATAAATCTTTATCATGATTAAAGCACTGAAAAAATGAATGATTGCATTATGCAAGTACAATATTGCTTTTTATTCCAGGTTGGTTAAAAAAAAAAAGTTTTACCTATATGTTTGTAATCATTAAGACAGAAATATTAAAACAAAGAAAAAGAAAAGAAAATATTTCAAAGGTAAAACTTGTATTTTTTTTTTTGATTAGTTACATAAAAATGGCAGCAGCAGTCAGCCAGCCAGCCAACCACAACTACTTGCAAGCAATGGATGGACAAGAATAAAAGAAAGCTAACAAAGAGAAAAGAAAAGGGGTTAAAGAAAAATTAAATGATAAAAGCAGAAAAGAAAGCAAGAGAGGATATGCAATTGTAGCAGCAGGGGATAATGGATTGGTCATTAGGAAATGGCCAAAAAGACACAGGAAGTTAGAAAACCATAACCAAGAGGATGAAAGCAATGGACATCAGCAGCAAGGAGGAAGAAGAGCTCTGATGACACATGGATAGAGAAGAGGAAAAGGAAGATAGAAGGAGTGGCATGGAAAAGGAAGAAAGAACCAAACCAAATGAATACAGTGCAACTGGCAGCAGCAGCAGTGGCGGCGGCAGCAGCAGCAGCAACAGTGGCAGTGTGTGGAATAGGAAGAGGATTATTTACCTGTTCCAAGTCCTTGATCCAGTAGTGGCAAGTCATAACGGTTAAGGCAGGAAACAGCTGGAAAATCACCATTTTAACGCAATTTGTCAGTTGTTCGACTTAATAGAAATTTAACTAATTAATGTTCTCCTACTTATTACATCATTAATGAAGATTTATCATTTGCTTTCCAAGATTAAATCTATGAAAACAACTTGTGTAAAACAATGTCTGCATTTGTTTATAATAATCAACAAAAGATAGAAAATGAAAAAGAAACTAATACTCTTATTTATCTAAGACACAGCGACTTTCTTTCAGGTAGGTGTTAAAAAATATCTTTCATTTTGAAAAGATTTTATACTAAATAAAAAATATTCAATCGTATAAGATCTCGTTATTTGTTAACCTGAAATTGAGATTTTTTTTTTTTAAATTATTACTTTCAAACTGCAGATTTCTCAATTGAAATTTAGACCGAATGAAGAATGGTGTAAATTTCCCACGGCTACAAATTATCTGAAAATTACTAATAATTAATGTTAAAAATTTTGGCACAACCTAAGTAGACTAGTTCACTCATAAAAAAATGAGGGAAAATTTTTTTATGAAATAAGTTTTGTACATCAGTATTTTTTAAACCTTCCTTAGGCCACAACATTTGTCAGAATCAAAAAAATATTGGTTTGTTATTGCTATAGAAGTGGGTATTTTTTATAATATCGATAGAGTCAAATTGATCCCTGACTTTTATACAGTTATTAGCCTTAGATGTTTTGCATACAAAAACTGTTTCTTTTTTTTTAATGTGGAGTTACAAAAACATTTCTCTTAAACATATATACATTTTAAATAAAGTAAAATATTACACAAATTAATAAAATCATGTATCTGTTTATTCTTAATTTAAGATAATTATGAATTTCAGATATTTGTGCGTGTGCCCCCCCAAAAAATCCCATACAAAAAATAAAAAACCCAGAAAAGTTAAAAAAATATATGCAGATATCAATGATGTTAGTACATTTTCAAACTTGATATTTGTAAATAACAGCTAAATGACTTGGCTTAAAGCCAATAAGTCAGAGATCAATTAGACACTATAGAAATTATAAACAGGACCCCACTTCTAAAATGGTAACAAGTCTATATTCTTCAATTCTGACATGTGTCATGGTCTAAAGAATGATAAATGTACAAAAATTATTTGTAAAAAAATTTTTCCCTTATTTTTTTATGTGTGGACTACTCTAGTTAAGTAGTGCTAATACTTCATGTGATTCAAGCAGAGAAAATAAATCTTCAAACTAAAATTCTATAAATGCATGGAATGGTCTAGAAATATTGAAAAAAAGAAAATATAAATTATTCAAGTAAATATAATATTGCTCTCAAATTATTAATAAAGACCTTTTTCAATGAATATACAAGTAGAATTTTAAAATAGAAACAGCAGAACAGTCAATTACTGCTGGGGGAGAATAAAAAAAAATAAGTAAGAAAGATATCTCTTTTGGTAAACACCAGTTCATTTTTATATTACTTCCAGGCAAATTTAATTAGTTATAATGAGCATAATTAAATATTAACTACATGATGCACTAAGTCTTCAACATCTATAATTATAATTATTTTAAAATCATTAAAGAGTGTATTCAATTAGATTGTAGTAGTGTCCAACATTTTCCTGAACCATTTAAAAAACATTTTTAATTATTTTGATTACCTACTGTAATCATTTTTTTTCTTATTTTAAATAGCATTAAAATAATCTAACATACTATTTGGTGTTAACACATGCAGAAAGAAATGACTAGAGAAAAACAGTAAGTAAAAACAAAAAAAAAACAGTGGTTTAGGTTCTTAAACACTTATTTTTCACAATTAATAATTAGACATCTAGGTTTGAATACTTTTTTTTTTTTTTTTACAAGATACAAGAATAAGAAGAAGTCCAGAGATAATCTTAATATTATATTTAGTTATCTTCTAATGTTAAGAAAGTTATCTCCTAATGTCAAAAAGTTAAAAATATGTGCACAACAATAAGAAATTATGAGCCTAAAAATAGATATAAGATTATGATTGATTTTCATTTAGCTAAACCTGAAATGTAAACAAGTGGTTGGTTGTTTTTGCATCCTTTGCGATGTAATGAATATTTATCTTTAAAATATGCATCACTAAACCTGATGCAAGAAATACAAACTGAATAAATTAAAATCATCATCAAAATATGTTGTAGAAGATATTCATTAGCAGCTCTTTGCAGAATTGCTAAGTATCTCTTTAAAATTAAACCAAGAATCTTTTGATGAATCAATTCACTTCAAAACAGCTCTATAAATCTATGGTCACTTGAATCTTACCAAAAAGAATTCATTAGATTGAATTTTAACAGCTAAGCAAATTAACTTTTCTATTTTTAAACACTGATTCTAATCAAGATTATGTTAGAATATACAAATAATAGATGAACCTTAGTTAACCTATTTTGGAGGATTTTCCTGTTTTCAATTAAAGCTTAATCCAAAGTTATTTACACAATTATTGAGGTTAGCATTTTGCAAAACAATCTCTTTGTAAACTATATTCATTTAGTAGTAGGATTTTTTCCTGTAATTTGTATGCAACAAATCTGTAAAATATAAAATCAAAATTACTGATACATACGAATCAAAGTATTTAGCCTTTTTTTTTTTTTTTTTAAATAATTTCAAAGTCCAGATGCCAGCGGTGGTAAATACTCTTCAGATAGGAGGCTAACAAAATGAGATGAATAATTACATTTATAGCTGGCATATTATTTTTTTTTTTTTTTACATGGACACATTAAATCTATTCAAATCTTTACAGACATACCCATCTTAAAAAAAGAAAGAGAAAAAAGTAATTCAGGTGAGGACAAGATTCACTTTTATTAATAAGTAATCACAGGCTTTTATGTTCACTTTGACACATGAAAGATTACTTAAGTACAATGATTTTATTCAGATGAATGGTCAAAGCACAACCAGTACTTCTTACTGGTTCTTGATGTCCCTAAGCTGGATTTGGAACATTTCTCTGCATAGTTATTCCTGGGTTTTCTTTATTCTCAAACTGAAACTATTCTTGAGTATGCAAATAAAAACATTGGGTCAAAACAAAAGTAAACAGTGGTATTTTAAGTGGATTTTAAAGACATTTAAATATTTGAACAGATTTATTCAACTACATGTGCACCATTTCATTCCATTAAATTGTCATTTTTGATGCAGCTTCATGATTCCATCCTTTCAAATACTTTGCATCATTCTAGCTGATGAACTGGTTAAGGTGGTTTTTACAGTTTTCTAGAGAATTGAAGTTATTCCCATTTAGATCATTTTGTAAAGATCAAAATCAGTGATAATCTGAATGTGCATAGTCAGGTGAGTACAGTGGGTGGTTTAAGACATACCAGTCAAGCTGTACCAATTTCTGTTAAGTCACAAAGACACACAAGGTCTGGTGATGTCCTGATGGAAGATGATACCATTGCAATTGACCAATTCCAGATGCTTTTCATCTTGCCATCTTTAACTAGTTCAATTAGGAACAGTACATGTGCACCATTTCAATGTTGATCTTTGCAGTAGAAATTTGTAATGCACCTTTCAATCCAACCAGATATACCTTCTTCAGATGCAAACCAGGAGTTAACAGTGGCCCATTTCATTTTCCACGGACATCTTTCATTCCTAATTGTTAGAAAAAATCCATTATTCATTGTCTGTGATTGTTCTTTTCAAAATTGTGGGTCATTAATTTTTTTTTTCTATCATGCAGGCACCCAAACATTGTGGCCATTTACATATCCAAGTTTTCTTAAATGGCTTACAATGCTTATATAAGATATGTGAAGTACTTCTGTAATTATTTTAATCAGCATTTTAATTTAGTCATCAATGACTGCCAGAAAGTTTTTGGTTTTCTAAATCAAAATTTCTACTTCTGAGTCTAGTGAACCACTTATGAATAGCACTTTGAGCTATGGCACCATCTCCATAAATGGCATCTCTTTTTTGCTACTTGACAGCATTTTTCTTTTTCAAAAATAAGAGCATCAAATGATGAAAATGCATCTCAGTAAAAACATTTAAAATTCACAATACATACACAAATTCTATAGAAAGATAAACTGAAAGGTCACATTTCAGAATATGCATGTCATAAAATTCAGTCTCATGTGAAATGAAACCATATGTTCAACCACCACAAACTGAAAGCACTAAGAACTTTTGTTCTAACCCAACATCTTTTTCTTATCCAATGTTATTAATAGTTCTTTAAAGCACCATTTATTGGGCATCTGAATCTTTAGTCTTTTTATGTTTTACAAAAATGAATAAGATAAATTAATGTGAAAAATCTTCCTTGGCTTCAATATATATTTTTACAAAAAGTTAATGGAAACTGCATCAAAAACAAATACTAAATATTTTACAAGTTGTACACAGGTCTTTCTTGGAAGCCTGAATTTTTGTAATTTGAGGCATACTCTTTACTTGAAGCAATCAATTCACTACAAGTAAAATCTATACTTTCTGCAATATCCTATAAGAATCCATTAGGAAATAATGTGAAAGTAAATATCAAAATAAAAAAAGATCTGCATAAATTACCATGCTATAAAATAAATGCAATTTTAAATAAATTCAGTAAAACAAAGTTTCTGTGCTCAAGCTGTTTAAACAGGTATATTGCTCTAATGCTGCAAGGTTTTATACTGACATTTTTCTTCATGAAAATTAGATTGTTTTAATTGCAAAATTCTTTAAAGCTCAATAATTAGATTATATAATTGACATTTAATGGCTATACCAATAACTGTCTTCAAAAATACATATTAGCATAAAAATTAATGTTTAAATTTCTTAATTTAAAATTTAAGAAAAAATATGAAGCCATGTATTTTCTATAGAAAAACTAAATATAGGCCAATGAACGAAATTATTGGTTGTCTAATTTGATTAATTCACTATATATATATATATATATATATATATATATATATATATATATATATATATATATAGGGGTATTTAGTCACATGC